AGAGTTTGGGGATGGAGTTTTTGGGATCGTGGAGGTATAGTATCATGTTGTTTGCAAAAAGGGATAGTTTAACTTCTTCTTTCCCTATGCGGATCCCTTTAATGTCTTTTTCTTGCCTTATTGCCCTGGCTAAGGGTTCTAAGACTATATTGCAGAGGAGTGGAGACAGTGAGCATCCTTGCCTTGTTCCTGATTTTAGGAGAATTGGTTGTAGCTTTTCCCCATTAAGTATAATATTGGCTATTGGTCTGTCATAAATGGCTTTTATTGTTTTTAGAAATGTTCCTTCTATTCCTATTTTCTCCAGAGCTTTTAGCATGAATGAATGTTGAATTTTATCAAAGGCCTTTTCTGCATCTGTGGCGATAATCATGTGATTCTTGACCTTGGCTCTGTTGATATGTTGGATTACATTTATTGACTTACGTATGTTAAACCATCCCTGTGTCTCTGGGATGAAGCCTACCTGGTCATAGTGTATTATTTTTTTATGTGTTTCTGGATTCTGTTAGCTAGAATCTTGTTAAGGATCTTTGCATCTGTGTTCATCAAGGAAATTGGCCTGTAATTCTCCTTTCTGGTTGGGTCTTTGCCTGGTTTGGGGATGAGTGTGATATTGGCTTCGTAGAATGAGTTTTGGATAGCTCCCTCCTTCTCTGTTTCTCTGAAGAGCTTGAGGAGTATGGGTATTAGTTCTTCTTTAAAGGTCTTATAGAATTCTGCTGTGAATCCATCTGGTCCTAGGCTTTTTTTTTTGGAAGACTTTTGATAGCTTCCTGTATCTCATTATAGGATATTGGCTTATTTAATTGGTTAACTTCTTCTTTGCTCAGTTTGGGCAACTTGTATTTCTCTAAAAATGCATCCATTTCTGCCAGATTTTATTCCTTTAGAGAGTATAGCTTTTGAAAGTAGTCTGTTAGAATTGTTTGGATATCTTGGGTACGTGTTGTGATGTTTCCCGTGGCATCCCTAATCCTATTGATATGGGTTTCCTCTCTTCTTTTTTTAATTAATCTTGCCAACAGGCCATCAATTTTGTTTATTTTTTCAAAGAACCAGCTTTTTGTTTGGTTTATTTTGGATATGGTTTTCTGATTTTCTAATTGGTTAATCTCTGCTCTTAATTTGGTTATCTGGCTTCGTCTAGTAGCTTTAGGTCCCATTTTTTCTTGTTTTTCTAGCTGTTTTAATTGCAACATGAGATTATTTACTTGGTCTGTCTCCATTCTCTTGATGTGGGCACTGAGGGCAATAAATTTGCCCCTCAGGACTGCTTTTGCTGTGTCCCACAAGTTTCTTTGTGAGCTGTTTTCATTTTCATTGAGTTGTAGGAAATGCTTTATTTCTTCTCTGATCTCTTCTGTTACCCAGGCATTGTTAAGGGCTATGCTGTTCAATTTCCATGTATTAGAGAAATTTCTGCAGTATGCTTTGTTATTGAGAGCTAGCTTGATTCCACTGTGGTCAGATAGGATACAGGGGATTATGTCGATCCCTTTGTATTTGCTTAAGTTCCTTGCATGAACTATGATATGGTCTATTTTGGAGAAAGTTCCATGAGCTGCTGAGAAGAATGTGTACTGTGTTGTTTTAGGGTGAAATACTTGGTAGATGTCAGTTAATTTCGCTTGAAGTATGGCCTCACTTAATTTGGTAGCTTCTTTGCCAATCTTCTGGTTGGTAGACCTGTCCTTTGGTGAGAGTGGTGTGTTAAAGTCTCCTAGTATTATCGTATTGGGATCTATTTTATTCTGTAAGTTTGAGAGCATTTGTTTGACATATCTGGGTGCACCAATATTTGGGGCATATAAGTTGATGATGGTTATATCCTCCTCTTGGATTGTTCCCTTTATTAATATGTAGTGTCCCTCCTTGTCTTTCTGTACTGATTTTAATGAAAAGTTTATTTTGTCAGATCTCAGAATAGCTACACCTGCTTTCTTACTGGGGGCATTTGATTGGTAGATCCTTTTCCACCCCTTCACTCTGAGTTTGTTTGTATGTTTGGCTGAGAGGTGGGTCTCCTGAAGGAAACAGATGGATGGGTCTTGTTTTCTGATCCAGTCCTCAGTTCGTTTTCTTTTAATTGGCGAATTCAGCCCATTTATATTAAGAGAAAGTATAGAGAGGGGTTCATTTTCTTAACATCACATTATCGGACCTTTTCTGCTCGACTCGTACATATACTAGATATTGCAAATAAGGGAAACCATGGGACCTATGTTTCTTTGGGCCTGGCTTACTTCACTTAATATAATTTTTTCCAAGCTTTTCCATTTCCTAACAAATGGGGCAATGTCGTTCTTTCTGATGGAGGCCTAGAATTCCATTGTGTATATATACCACATTTTCTTGATCCATTCATCTACTGAGGGGCATCTGGGTTGGTTCCATATCTTAGCTATGGTAAATAATGCTGCAATAAACATAGTTTTGCTGGTAGCTTTAGTGTGGTCTTGTTTATAAACATTTTGGTAAATGCCCAAAAGTGGGATTGCTGGGTCCTAGGGGAGCTCTATGTGAAGTCTTTTGAGGAACCTCCATACTGCTTTCCAAAGTGGTTGAACAAGTTTACACTCCCACAAACAATGCAGTAAGGTTCCCTTCTGTCCACATCCCCTCCAGCATCTGTTGTTATTAGAGGTGGTTCTTATCTGTGCTCCTGGCTTCTTATCTATGAGGAAATCTGCACCCAGATATAGAAAAGAAGCACAAGTCTTTCCATTTCCAAACAAATGGGGCAATGTCATTCTTTCTGATGGAGGCATAGAATTCCATTGTGTGTGTGTGTGTGTGTGTGTGTGTGTGTGTGTGTGTGTGTGTGTGTGTGTATCACATTTTCTTGATCCATTCATGTAATGAAGGTTATCTGGGTTGGTTTCATATCTTAGCTATGGTGAATAATGCTGCAATAAACATAGTTGGGCTGGTAGCCTTAGTATGGTCTTGTTTGTGATCGTTTGGGTAAATGCCCAAAAGTAGGATTGCTGGGTCATAGGGAAGCTCTATGTGGAGTCTTTTGGGGAACCTCCATACTGTTTTTAAGCCAGGCCCAAAGAAACATAGGTCCCATGGTTTCCCTTATTTGCAATAACTAGTACATGTGTAGGACAAGTAGAAAAGGTCAAAAGCTATGTGCATATGACCATATAAGATGATGATAAGCGAAATGAACCCCAAGATAGGGACACAAATATCTTTTTTCTTTCTTGCTATTGTTTCTAACATATTTATAATATACTATGTGATTTTTTTTGTTTCTTTTGTTTTTTTGTATGTTCCTCCTGCACAGTATAACCCCTCTTTTCATGTTGGTGCCCTGCATCTTGTATGAACATTTTTTCTAATTTGGGAGGGGGAAAGGAAAAAACAAAATGCTTAAAGAAAGATACAGGTTGACCCATTGTAACAATGAGATGTATAAAACACTCTGTTGGAAACGAACTTTCAACTTGGGGATGGGTAGTTGTAGAGGTGGGAGGGAAGGAATGGTAGGGGAAAAACAAAGGAGGAGGCAACAATGCTCGATAGGAAATGTACTCATTACCTTGCTCAGGTAACCCCACTGTACAGTATTTGTACAATAAAAAACGTACAAGGGACTGGGAAGGTGGCTCAGTGGTAGAGTGCTTGCCTTGCATGCATGAGACCCTGGGTTTGATTCCTCAGCACCACATAAGCAGAAAAAGCTGGAAGTAGTGCTGTGGCTCTAGTGGTAGAGCGCTAGCCTTGAGCTGAAGAGCTGAAGGACAGCACCCTTGCCCAGAGTTCAGGCCCCATGCCTGGCACACACAAAAAAAAAAAGTACAAAAAAATCAAAACTAAAAAAAAAAAAAAAAAAGGTAGCACAAATACTACTCTGTTATCCCCTTTCTACCTATCCCAGTAACTCTGCAAGAGCTCAGTTATGGTGGCTCAAACTTGTAATCTATCTAATCAGGAGGCTCAAATCTGAGGATCTTGGTTCAAAGTCAGCCTGGGAAAAGAAATTCCAGAGACTTTGATCTCCAATTAACCTTCAAAAAGCCCAAAGTCAAGGTGTGGCACAATAGTAGAGTAGCAGCCTTCAGTGAAAAGCTAAGTTAAATGAGCTTTTAAGGAGTTAAGATTAACTGTGCATGCGCGCACACACACACACACACACACACACACACACACACACACACACACACACACACACTTTCACCTAAATCTGAATTATGGCAAAGAGGGAAAAAATATCTTATATTCTAAACTTGGAGACTTTAATTTTCTTGTGGAAAAAAGAGTAATAGATAAACCCTTGCAAAGAAAACAAATGGAAGCAAAACAAACAAACATACAAAAAAACAAACAAAACCCTGAATGAACATCCTTGATTTCTTTAGTAAGGAAAAAGAAGCTCAAGAAGATTTTAAATGTAATTGTCAAGAATGAAAAGTAGGGAAATGTGACTAAGGTAAAAAATAAATCAGCCAATGTTTTTCAGGCAGTATAGCATTTCATAGGTTTGGCAGTGATTAGTTTCAATGTACTTGCATCAAAAATATATTCTACACACTTGTTTGTGTCATTCAAAAGCCAATCCAGAAAACTTGGCTTTACCTATACAATATGCAGAAAAAAAGAATAATTGTACTCATACTCTTATATAGGTTAATTGATCTATAAGGATACTTATGGTATAATTTTTAATCATAAAACTTATACATGTATGTATATGTATATATACATGTCATACCTATGTATATATACATATGTATATATACATATCAGTAATATTTGTATCTTCATATTATGCAATTTTAAAATAATCGTTGGTGAATAAGTATCATAAAATTAAAAATGTGTCAATTTACAATTAAAATGCCTTTCCTTAGAAAAGTGTTGAAGGAGTTATCCATAGCTGAAACCATTTCTTCCCCACTAGTGTTCCAGTTACATCTTTGGTAAACCCATAGTTGTAGGACCCAGGAAACTCAATGAGGCTGTGATGGATTTCTGGGAAAATTACTTACAGTAAACATCCACTCTGATTGACTTTATAGCTGGGGACCCCAGGCCATTCTCCGCTTTACAGTAATACCGGCCTCCTTGGTGTCTCTGGATATTTGTAATTCTCAACGTCTCATTGAAGACACTGGAGTCTTGGAATCTGTCAGAGGCACTTCCTGCTGTCTTGGTCCACCTGATCTGAGCGGGCATCAACAAAGATTGTTACTTTAGCTAGGTTTTCCCACAGGACAATCAAATAGCAATGACTAATTTGCAATGCTTGTCTCATCACTGCTATCTTGCCTTTCTTATCCAATTAATGAGAGATGGATTAAAAGTATAAACACATTTACAGTATAAGATTTTAAGTAAAATGCCATCCTTTATTTAGTGCTTCAATTGAAGCAAATTCATCAATGGTCCAATCAAAGTAGAAGAGGTCAGTAGAAAGCATAAATAAAGCATGTATATCAGAAATATATTAGAATGAAGAAAGCAAGGGTAGGAGAGTACTCTTTTGTTGAGTGTTTAAAATTTTCTTTAATAATTTCAAAGTTTGTAAAATACTTTTTATTTGTCTAGTCAATATAGACTCTAATTACTTTTTGGACATGCTTCATTATTTTTACTTTAAATTTCCTATTTGATTTGGATAATTTAGGCATATTACCATAATGGCTTATTGAGATTATGTATAATTTTATACACCTGGTTTTCAAAAGAGATTTTTTTTAAAATCTTTAATGGCTTTGCCTTAATAGGCCTACAAATGATTTGCCTATTTTGATCATTAGAATTCACTTTGCATCACTAATTATTTTCAAAAATGTGTAAACTTTTTCAAGTACAACATTTCTATTAAACTGCCAAGCACTTAGAATGTCTAAAATATTTCATTATAAACAATACCATTCTTTGAAACACAGCTGTGTACAACAGCTTTATTTTTTGCCAGCAATAATTACTGGTATTCAACTTAAATTTTGTGTATTTTAGTATACAAAACCTTACAAAAGCTACATGCTGTTACTGTAAATTGATACAAAATAGAAAATAAAACTAATGTGGTTTAGTTTTTCTCTTTTTCTTTGTTGTATATCCTTGTTTATTTTCATTTTAATAATGAAACAGCTGATAGAAATACTAAAAAACATACAAAGAATTATATAGATTAAAGTGAAAGTATGAAAAGCCAAAACTGAAATAAAACCAGCCTGTTCAAAATCTCTTCTTTTAATGCATAGAAATGTATAAATAAATGGGACTACAATCTTTAAAAAATACTTTTTATTATTAAAATATGACTATTTTCATCCTTAAATGTGACTGCAATAAATGCACAACCTACAGATGAACAAGCAGAGCAAAATAGCAAATATGTATTTAAGCAGGGAACCTGTGGTTAATGTCTGTAATCCTAACTACACAGGAGGCTGAGATCTAAGAATCACAGTTCAAAACCAGACTGAGCAGGAAAGACTGTGAGACTCGTATCTACAATTATCCACACAAAAGCTATAGCTCAAGTGGTAGAGTGCTAGCCTTGAGCACAAAAGTTCAGGGACAATGCCCCACACCCAGAGTTCAAGCGCCAGGACAAGCAAAAAATTATATATACATAAATTATATTAAATTATATTACATTATATTTATATATATAACTATATATAATACAAACTTTGCTTTGTTCGTGAACTATATATTAAAAAATTCAACGACATATTCCTAACTTCAATTAGTTGTAAACTTATTATGTATATGCCCACCAAATAATAAAACAGTATTTTTACTGGGAAATCAAGTGTTCTAGTTTTAAGTTTACAAATCTAGAAACAATGGATGAAGACTTAAATGTGCTTTTATTTTATACAAACACATTTTAATTTTTCTTAAGATAATAGACACGTGCCTATTTCATAGTCTAAAATATAACTAGAATTCTGTTTAAAACATTTTCATATAATATCATAACCGAATACTAAACTTACTTTGAAAACGAATTTTTTTTAAAAAAATAGAGTTTAAGATAAAGCAAGTCATGGAAATGACCTGGGGATTTCAAATATATAAAATATTTTATGTTTTACAATAATTAAATTATATAGCAGTATTATAGTGGTAGATATGATTCAGGAAGAGAGAAGAATGAAAAAAATCTATGTGTGTATAAGAGAGAAAGAGACAGAGTCAGAGACAGGGAAAAAGGGAAGAAAGACCTATGAGATATCAGCTATTAAAGTTTCTGGCCTTAAAACATCTTCACATAATTAAAACTGTAGACTGCGGCTGGGAAGGTGGCTCAGTGGTAGAGTGCTTGCCTTGCATGAATGAGGCCATGAGTTCAATTCATCAGCATCACATAAGCAGAAAAAGCCAGAAGAGGTGCTGTGGCTCAATAGTAGAGCTCTAGCCTTGAGCTGAAGAGCTGAGGGACAGCGCCCAGGCACAGAGTTCAGGCCCCATAACTGACAAAAACAAAAACAAAAAACTGTAGAATATCTAAGTATCTTTTGTTTGTTTGGATTTTATTAAAAAGGGATTCTGTATTAGAATTAGTAGAAATGAACCCCAAGATAAGGACTCAAATGTTTTTTTTTTCTTTCTTGCTATTGTTTCTAACATATTTATATTTCTTTGTTGTTTTGTATGTCCCTCTCCCACAGAAAACCCCTGTTTTCACTGTATTTGATGTAGGCATAATTTGTGGAGGGGAAGGGAAAAAACAAATCGTTTAAATAGGGATACAGGTGGACCCATTGCAACAACGCGATGTACAAGACATTATGTCGAAAAATGAACTTTACAGCGGGGGGCGCGGGGATGGGTGGGGGAATGGGAAAGGATGGGAAGGGGAAAAAACGGAGGAGGCAACAATACTTGATAAGAGCAACAATACTTGATAAGAAATGTACTCATTACCTTGCCCATGTAATTGTAACCCCTCTGTACTGTATTTTCACAATTAAAAAAAAAACTGTAGAATATCTAGGTATCTTTTGTTTGTTTGGATGTTTTTAATCAGGGATTCTGTATTAGAAATTAAGCAGAGAATGTAAAAACATGCATCATCTCATTTTAGCTTACATAAATAAACCTAGGACAAGTTAACATCAGATTTTTAACTAGAAAACTGTGTCTTCTAATTTAAAATATATAAAGGATGATATTTTTATATCACTTCAAATCTCTTGAACTTCTGGCTTATGGGCAAAGTCAGCTGGTTTATTTTATCAATTTGCATGCAATCTATGGCCAGTATTGTTCATTGTTGTTTAGATTTATGATAAAAAGTGGTCCCACATTGATTTCAATATCTTTTCAGGTAATTGGGGCATATATACTTTTGTAAAACACTACACAAAAACCTCCACATATGGAAATTTCTCAATTTTTTTGCAAAATATAACCTAATATTATATCAATTTACTTTCTTTTAATGGACCATTGGTCTATTTTCCTCTTTAAATGGATCTTTATTTACATGATTTCACCACATCATACATTAGTCATTCTGAAAGTACAGATTCACTGAGATGTACACACCTATGAAAGGTTGGCAAATATCCTTACAAATATAATCATGTCACACTAATTAGGTTCACAGCTAACCTCTTGAGTACAGCTGTTAAATACTAGGAAACAAATATGCTGCTGTTTCTGATATTCACTTTTTCTCTTAAAAGAATCTATTTTATGATTGGTAACAAACATAGTCAAGGTACTTTGAAGCACACAGGCTAATTTGACGTTTTTTATAGAAAGTATTTTTGTCCCAAACACATATCTGAATACATTTTCTATAGTAATCATCCTTTTACTTAAAATTGGCTTTCTATGAAAATCAGTTTGTCACTAAACTCCATCAAACAAATTTTTCCCTTGAGAGAAGCAATGATGTTCAGTAAGCAAAGGAATACTTTGTAGGTATTTTTGTCACAGAAATATTTTTTAATTTAATATATATTTTTCTTGTAAAGATACTGTACAGAGGGGTAATGAGTAAGGTAATGAGTACATTTCCTATTTTCCCTACCATCCCTTCCCTCCCCTCTTCCCTTACCCTCCTTGAAGTTGTAAAGTTCATTTTCAACATAGTGTCTTTTACATCTCATTGTTACAATGGGTCAACTTGTGTCTTTGTTTCAGCATTTTGTTATTTCCCTTCCCCTCCCAAAATCAGAGAAATGTATATACAAGATTCAGGGCACTGGAATATTTTAAATTAGTAAAGCGTCTAGATGTTAAAAAAGTGATCAGTTTGTCTGGCACTGGTGGCTCATGCCTGTCATCCTAGCTACTCTGGAGGCTGAAATCTGAGAGCTGTGGTTCAAAGTCAGTCAGAGCAGAAAAGTCCAGGTGAAATTCTTATGTCCAATAAACCACCTGAGAATTTTAAGTGGAGCTGTGGTTCTAAGTAGTACAGAGGAAGCCTTGAGCAGAAAGAGCTCAGTGACAGCACATAGGCCCTGCGTTCAAGCCCTCAAAATGATCAGTTTCACTGTTTTATAGTATGTGCTACTAGAGAGCACAAAGGTTAATAAGGCTGCACTGTATGCTGAGGGGCCACCTGTCCATCCACCACCATGGCAAGTGCTGCATGGTGGACTGCAGGCTGCTTCTTCACGACTGTACTAAGGGTCACCCAGATACCTCTGGGAAGCTGCATTCCATAAACCTCAGATTATTCAAAGAGCAGAGGAATAGTCACATAAAAGTGGGATGTGACATCTCCTGCAACTGGTATTTGACATGAAAAAAAATGTTTAGAAAATGATGTTGGGGTAATTGAAGATACATTCACAGACAAAAGGCTGATTTGATGTAAGTAAATAAGAAAAATAGTTTAAAATGAAGAGAAAAAAACTACAAATGGAAAATATTTAATTCTTAACATCTTGTTTCAAAATATATAAGAAATGCAAGAGGAAATCAAGTTCACCTCATTAGTGAGAAATACTGAGGATATGGCATAACGTTGAAGTTTCACAGTTAACATTGAAATAAGTTGATATAAACTTTTTAAGAGAATTTTATGGGTTATCATTGTAACAACGAGATTGTACAAGACACTATGTTGAAAACAAACATTACAACTTTGGTGGGGGAGGGAGGAGTTGGGGAGGTGGGGAGGAAAGGGATGGTATGGGAAAACAAAAGAAGGATAACAATGCTCAATAGGAAATGGACTCATTATTGCT